AATATTTATGGCAACAGAAAGTGGTTCAACATAGTCAATACCTACAACATAAAAACATAAGCTAAATATTTTCCATATACCAGCATGATTTTCACATAAAAAGCTTAGAGGCATTTGATGAGTGTGTGCAAATATGAGATCTATAGTTTTGATAACTTTTCTCTTATTTTAGAGGAAGAACAACTGACACCTAAAATATCTAGAAAGGCACCATTAGCATGCAAACTGATAGTATTGATCATTAATGGCACCTAATGTCGCAGATAGAGACAGCCAGACTTTATATACCTCCAAATAGAATACTTCACAACCAATGAAACAAAAAAAAGAAAAAAATCAACACAAATCTAATCTTACAGAACTAAGTGCCAATTTTTAGCAAGTGTAGGACAAAGTAGTACATCAAATGACAATAGGAGACGCCAAATCTGGGAAGATCTTAGAGGACAAATAATAGCATTGCTTTAACACATAAATTATAAGTGAAAATAAATTCTGTAGATAAAAAGAGCCTTAGAGGTCAATGAAGTACAATGAAGCTGCTGTGTAATGATTAGCATGTTGGTGATGAGACGATCAAGAAAAATAAAAAGTGAATGGTGAAATGTCTGGTAATGTAATGACTTACTTTTGAGGAGATAGAAAAAGATTGTGATGGTGATAGATACATGACAATGTCTATTTTTAAATTTTGGTTTCTCAAGATAGGGTTTCTCTGTATTGTTTTGGAGCCTGTCTTAGAACTCGCTCTATAGACTAGGATGGCATCAATTCACAGAGATCCTCCTGCCTCTGCCTCCCTAGTGCCAGAATTAAAGACATGTGCCACAAATGCCTGGCAGCAATGTCTAATTTTTTTCATGAGAATATGAGAACTAGAGTTTGAACTAAAGACCCAGTACAAAATTGGATGCAATAGAGTACGTCTGTAATCTTCTTACAGTGGTATGGGAGTGGAAAACAAGGATGTTCTTGGAAAGTCCCATGCCAAATAGTCTCAAACAAGGTGGAAGACGATCACTGAGACTTGTTGCTGTCCTCTGATATCCAGACACTCAATGTACAGTCACACCCCCATATGCACACTGAACTCACACAACATATATACATATATCTTTCAAAAAGAGATCAAGGTCATCACTGTGTCCAGAGGTAGTTTGAAGCCAATCCAAGCTAGAGACTTTGTCTCTAAAAATGTAAATGAATAAAATAATGCTGTTATGTTATATCATATTGGTTATCTTTATTTGTACAGCAGTTATACACTCATATGCAATCCAAATATGCATAGTTTCATAGCATGGATATAGATGGGTATGTATAGAATAACTAGTTACTTAGGGAAGAGTAGCTAAGAAATTTTCAGAAATCTACAGGACAAAAAAAGTTAGTATAAATAAAAAAGGCACAGAGAACCATTAACAGATTGCATCTTTTGTTCGATAAGTATCATAATGTCATCATTTCTATTTTAAGTGAATTTTCCCCACATTCTTTTATCAAGGCTAAACAACAGCCAAATGTCTGTCTACAAAAATGGCACATGCTTGGTGTACTACATCATATCTGTAATTCCAGCATTCTGGAAGTACAGGCAGGAGGATAAAGGCCATCCTCAGTTATATATCAAGTTCAAGGCCAGCCTGAGCAACACAAGATCATGGTTTTAACCAAAAAGGGAGCAGTATTCAAAACTTCAGGGCTAGCAAGATAACTAGGTGGATAAAGGCACTTGCTACCAAGTCAGATATCTTGAGTTCAATCCTCCACTTAGATAAGGGAGAGATCCAGCTCTTGCAATTTGTCCTTTGACCTCCACATGTGCTCCCACAAACATAAAAATAAGTTAATTAATTAAGCTTAAAAGGGCAGTGCACAAAACATAAGCAAATACAGCCATTTAACACCATTGCCTATAGAAGACTAAAGCCATTAAAAGCTAGATCTAGTGAACTTCTTAAATTTGGCTAAAGTTTGTTTCCAAACTTAATAGTTGTCCTTATATGACCAATTGTCATCAGAGCCTATGGAAAATCAATGTCAGCAAAATCAACACCTCTGAAATTTGCTTATCTTGCCAACCTTTAAGTTTGTGATATAGCTAGACTTAAAAGTTTAACACACAAGAATTATAGAAAGGAATATCAACACTGTTAATAAAATCACTTAAAACTTCAAGCTTGACCACACACATATTGACACAAACATTTTCTTCAAGCTCTGCATTCCTGTATCTTTAATAAATGCATATACTATCTTTCTATGGAATTGCACAATTGACACATGAAGGTTCTTCTCAATGAGATAACTATAGTTGAAAAATGTTCAAAGAACAAGATTAATAAACATGAGACTTTTAAGAAATACATTAAGGGACCGCAAGCAGCAGGTAAAGGTGCAGCTGCTACACCTGATAAGGACCGACTCTCACTTCTGAGGGTTGTTTTCTTACCTCCAAACCTGAGTCATGATACATGTATACCTACATACATATGCATACAGAAAACAAATAAAGTAAATGGAATAAACTATTTTAAGAAATATGTTTAAATATCGGTTTATTGCTAAATATATAGTCATGGGTGTCCCAAGGAGCTATTCTCCTTGAGATAATTGGTTCCATTGCATAATTACAGAGATAAATGAGATTTTTTTCTCTAAGAACTGGAAAGCTTTTGACCTATGAAATGAACTTTTCTTAGAATTACACTAAAATAAAAAAATCAAATAAAGGTGATACACCTACATCTTAGACATTGTTTTCTTGCTGTCAAGAGACACCATGACCAAGGCAACTCTTATAAAGAAAACATTTAAATGGAAGTTTGCTTTCAGTTTCAGAGGTGAGTCTATATTATCATCATGGCAGGGAGCATAGTAGCAGGCATGGTAAGCTCCTGAGAGCTTTACATCCTGATCCACAGATAAGGAGAGAGAGACAGGGATAGACAGAGGGAGGTGGAGGAAGAGTATTGGACTGGCATGTGCTTGTGAAAACTCAAAGATCCCCCCCCCCACACACACAATGACACACACCTACTCCAACAAGGCCACACCTTCTAACGCTTCTAATCCATCTCAAAAAGTTCAATTCCCTACTGACTAAGGACTCATATATATGAGCCAATAGGAGCCATTTTCATTCAAACCACTGAAACCTGAATTCCATCTTTTAAAAATTTCTGACCTGACATTAACAAGACAGACACGTATACTAGTTTTCTTTCAGTTGTTATGATAAAACACTGATGAAAACCAACTTTGGGAGGAAAAAAGTTTATTTTACCTTGCAGCTCAAGGCAAGAGCTTTGAAGCAGGAACCAAAGAAGAGATGCTGCTTACTCTCTTGCTCCTTCAGCCGCCTTTCTTATATAGCCAAAGCCACCTGCCCAAGGATGGCAGTGCCTACAGAGGGTTTCCTCCATCAAGTAGCATTTAAGAACCTATCCCAAAGATATGCCCACAGGCCAATCTGATCTGGAAAATTCTTCATGTGAGGTTCTGTCTTCCCTGGTGACTCCAGGTTGGTGTCAAGTTGACAGGTAAAGCTAACTGTGACATATCTCTACAAATAATGTTTATACTCAAAATATAAGTAACATTATCATAACTCAAAAAGTTTGAATGTAAAAAATACTAGTAGTAGTTAAAAACGATCTGTAGATTGGAAATCCTTACTAACACATAGTTGGAAATATTGGTGGTTCAAACTCAGGCTTCTACCACCAAGAGAAAAACCTTGTCCCACACTGAATTCTCTCATTTAGTGCATTGCAATTTGCATCTCATCAGTAAATACTTCTTCAAATAATGAAATACAATTCCTAACTCCTTCTAGGTACTCATTAAGATAATTGGACTAAGTGGCAGAGAGATGTCTTGGTGGTTATGTGCACTGGCTGCTCTTCCAGAAGACCTAGGTTTAATTCCCAGCACCCATATGCTAACTCACAATGATCTGTTATTCTGACTCTAGAGGATCTAATACCCTTTCCCAACCTCCACAGGCACTAGGAATGCATGTTGTGCACAGACATACATGCAGGCATATGTGTAAAATAAATAAGCAAATTTAGAAATCACTGGAATCAATTCATCTTACTTTTGGATGATTTGTTCATACAGAGAAAGCCTTCAGTTGACAATTCAACTCCCAAACCTATTGCAGCTTTCAATAAAAGGCAGAAGATGCTATCCTTCTCCGGCATTTGTTTTCAAGCCCAGAAGTTCAGTCTTGAAATGTCTACCTCTGGGTTGCTAACTTTCCATAGTAGTTGGACGACTACTATATGCATAAATCCCCATCTACTCCAAGATTGGATCAGTTATTCCTGCCTTTCCAGAATCTTCTGCCCTCTCCTAAGCTGTCATTCTGCTTTCCCCTTAAGTTGTTCAGCATAGTCTAGATTGTTTGTAAGTTGCCCACTCTCCTTTCCAGTAAGAAAGAATATTTCCTAGCCACTGAAAGATTTAATATCAGCTCTCCAGTATTGTTGCTGTTACCTATACATATTTGCTGTTCAATATTTCCCCACTGTGGTCCAGAGAAATGGTCGTTGCTACAATTTGAGAGTTTCTTACTCACTATTTCGTGTCTCCAACTTGCTCCAGTGTTTTTCTCACATTGCGTATATTATTCAGGGTTCTCAAGAGAAACAGAACCAATATAATGAATGTGTAGGCTCATATACATTATTGGCACTATTAGGCCGCATGGTGTCATTGGAGGAAGCATGTTCCAAGGGATGGGCTTTGAGGTTCTATATGGTCAAGCTAGACCCAGTGTCTCATAGTCCCTCCCTGCTGCCTGCTGATCCAGATGTACAACTCTTGCCCTCTTCTCCAGCATGTCTGCCTGCATGCTGCTGTGCTTCCCAACATGGGAATAATGGACTAAACCTCTGAAACCTGTAAGCCAGCCCCAATTAGATGGTTTCCTTTATATAAGAGTTGCTGTGGTCATGGTCTCTCTTCATAGAAATAAAACCCTAACAAAGACACATATTAAAAGAGTATTTATTACACTCATTTACATACATTCAGAGTTATAGAAGAAAATGTGTATCATGCCAGATAACCCAAGAGTCATGAACCCAATGTTGGTTCAGTCTCCAAGTCCCAATCTGGTTGTGAAGGCCTGGAGGAGCCCTAGGGAGCCTCTGGTCATTTCAGAAATCTGAAGAAGGTGTTTGTAATATCAGTGAAGGAATGAGCAGGGTCTTCAGTCTGCTTTGGAAGCCTTAAAAATAATTGAAGAAATCATCATCATCATAATCATCATCACCATCATCATCACCATCATCATCATCATCACCATCATCATCATCATCATCACCATCATCATCACCATCATCATCATCATCATCACCATCAGCATCATCATCATCACCATCATCATCATCATCATCATCACCATCAGCATCAGTAGCAGCAGCAACAACAGAAGCTGCAACAGAATAGATAAACTCCTCAACAAGAGTAAAGGACAAATAACAATAACAAAAAGAACACACCGTGTTTTCCTTCTTCCATGTCCTTTTTATCTGGGCAGCTACCAAAAGTTGCTGGCCACTTTTAGTCTCGGTCTTTTCACATCCATAATGACAATAAAGACAGTTTCCCAGAGACACACCAACAGTCCAATCTAATATAAATAATTTCTCAGTAAGACTCTCTCCATGGGTGATTCTAGGTTGTGCCAAGTTGAAAATTAAAGCTAAGTAGCATGCTAGCAAATTCATTTACACTTCTACCTGTTTCTCTCAACCAAAATTGCATTTTATAACAAAACAAATGTCAACCACATCCATATGGTCTTTTTCAATAAAGCCATGATATATAATGTGCTTATCTGGCCATTTACATCTATGAATCGGACAATACATGTAAATAGTAGTAACCATCCTGGAAACAAATATTACTGCATTTATTTTGACATGAGATGATTTTGTTTCCTCTTACTTCAATCTAGCAGTTACTTACATTGATCAAACCCACAATAAACTTGCCTAGGGTCCTATATCTAGAATTAACTTTGATGTCAACATTTGTTCCATACTTCCTTCACATAAACATTTACTTCCTAGGATTAGATGATACAAACAGCTACTCTCTAAACACACGTGTAATTTTAGAAGTGACCATATCCTCCTTCTTCAAATAAAAGGTTAGTTAGATGGCTTAGATGTCAGCTAATTTGTCTCAAATTCAACATCATTGCCATTAATTTGGGTGTTTTCCCCTCTTCTCTCCCAAATAAGCATTTATCGTTATGGAATAGACAGCTAGCAGAGAAAACAACTCGGCTGGATATAATTTCCACAATGACTTTTTAATCCTGTCTTCTTTGCGATAAGCATTTCATTATGTTAGCTAGACCTCACAGCTCTTTCTTCTAGCATCAAATATCACTGAATTTACTTCAGTGTTTGCTTAAACCCAGAGCCTTTCCCTGGGCTAAACACACAGATTCTTACTTTTAGTTACTTTGCAGTCTCCTTTTTGTCTGTTCTTTTCAGAGAAAAGAAAAGAAAAGAAAAGAAAAGAAAAGAAAAGGCTTTCTTGATCCTATAGTACCCAAAGTTTAATCTTGTCTAAAAGATTACCATCACTTCCTCAGACTTGATTTTTTTTTTTTTAGCTGTAGAAGTACATTGATTAGATGATTTAGTTTTGGGTTTAGAAAACTTTACTGAGAGCCTATTATGTAGCAAATGTTGTGCTAGACTCTAGAGATGTGATCAGGAAGCCCACAAGTTCCTATTCTTGAGCTAAAGAGTCCAGAGGTCGAAACAGACACACCGTAATACGCACATAGTGTCACCAAGGAGAAAATGACTACTGCTAACGTGGTTGCTTCAAAAAGCAGTTTATGATTAAGTTACAGGTCTTGAAAATGACATAGACGTTTAATAGATGATTAATTTGAAATACTCCAATCCAGGAGGGAGAAATAGCATTCACAGAGGTAGAAAGGCATCAAAGTTCCTGGTAGGTTTGGGCAACATGAAGAAATTTAAACAGACGAGGATTGAATGTCCACTGATGGTTGCAATTAACACTAATTGAGCATATCATATGAGCAAGGAGCTGTACTATGATATAAAACATTAAATCCTTACCTTCTTTTAAAATAGAATATATATTCTACATCTCAATTCAAACTAACTACATTTCAGATGCTTAAAAGACACTTTTGGAACCGGCAAGATGGCTCAGGGCATAATTTCACTGGCTACCAAGACTAGTGATTAAATGTTAGATGCCTGGAGCCCATGTAGTGTAGGAAGAGAATTGATTTCTGCAAGTTGTCCTCCAACCTCCACATGCCTGCTCTGGTGCAAGTTCAAGTACACACACACACACACACACACACACACACACACACACACACACACAGTTTTTAAAATTAGTTCTCCTCTAGTGGACAACCTAGCCTGAATGATACTTTTTTTTCAACAATTATATTTATTTTCCAACACATGAATATGCAAAAATTTTGAAGAAAATATTAATTATACATATATCCATGTTTTGTTTTAACTATTGCTTCTAACCTTTTATAATTTTTAAACCCTATGTTTATTAATGCGGTTTAAACATCATGAAGTTTTCACAGAATTTTATAGTTTCCTTGTATGTGTCTTTTGTCTTCATGCTATTTCTCCTACAAATTTAAATTCACAGAAGGAAATATCACCTTCATCTTCATTACAAGACAGAATCTTGAAGATAGTGCCTTGAAGCTAATCGATTTTGAGAAGCTATATATTGAAGATAAATGCATTGATTGCATTTTAGTGGACACTTCATAAACAGAGAAAAAAAGAGTAACTGCTACTTGGTGAAGGATTATCAGCCTACAATCCACACAGCCAGAGAAGCTAGGAAACAAGAAGGACCCTAAGAGAGACATGCATGATAACTCGGAGAAGGGGAAAGGGACAAGAACTCCTGAGCTAATTGGGAGCATGGGGGAGGGGAGAAAGTTAGAAAAGAGAAGGGGAGAAGAGGAGGGGAGAGGAGGACATGAGGGAACAGGAAGGTTGAGTCAGGGGAAGATTAGAGGAGAGAAAGAAAAGAGATAGCTTAATAGAGGGAGCCATTATAGGTTTAAAGAGAATTCTGGTACCAGGGAACTGATCAGAGATCTACAAGGTTGACCCCAACTAACAATCTAAGCAATAGTCAAAAGGCTACCTTAAATGCCCTTCCCAGATAATGAGATTTATGCCATCCTAGAGCCTTCATCCAATAGCTGATGGAAGTAGAAAGAGACACCTACAACTAAACACTGAGCTGAACTAGAATCCAGTGGCAGAGAGGGAGGAGTGATGAGCAAAGGGGTCAACACCAGGCTGGAGGAACCCACAGAAACAGCTGACCTGAACAAGGGGGAGCTCATGGACCCCAGACTGATAGCTGGAAACCAGTATAGGACCGACCCAGACCCCCTGATTGTGGGTGTCAGTTAGGAGGCCTGAGAAATATATGGGGCCTCTGGCAGTGGATCAGTGTTTGTACCTAGCATAAGAATGGACTTTGGGAGCCCAATCCACATAGAGGGATACTCTCTCAGGCTAGAGAGATAGGTAGGACCTAGGTCCTGCTCCTAATGATGTGACAGACTTTTAAGATCCCCTATGGAAGGCCTCACCCTCCCTGGGGAGCAGAAAGGGGTTGGGATAGGGGATTGGTGGGGGGCAGGGGAGGAGGGGAGGGAAAGGTAACTGGGATTGACATGTAAAACAAGCTTGTTTCTAAATTAAATAAAATAATCTGAAAAGGTTTTATTAAAAATATAATTGCTGCATGCCATGATTCTGTATACTGCCTCGTAAAAGTGGTAAACTATTAACTAGAAAAATAAGCTTAAAATTCCCATTACCTGTAGCACTTCTGTGAAGCTAAACCCTCCAAATGTATGTGCACCACTGTTGTTAATTCTTTTCTGTCTCTTTTAAAATAATCCAAGTACTAAAATGAAGACAGTGATAAAATGTTATTGAAATACATTTCGCTAAGAGGCATAGCCTTTTGTGACATTTTCAGCTATTTGTATTAATTTGAATATTTATTAATGAGAAATTAAATAGTCACTGGATATGTGCATAATCTTTGGCTTATGGAATAATGTTATTAATTATGATCCAAGAGCAACTGTACGCACCTCAATTATCTGATAGTGAAGCCACATAGATTAATATAAATCTTTCACTTTACATTTCATAGAGTGGAATTTGTTACTGCTCTATAAATCTTCATTATCTCAACTAGCCTGAAAAACTTTCAGCTTTGCAGTTTTTAACAAACCTATCTTTATTCTGAATAGGTTCTTTCACACATAGCACAGAATACTGACATTTACATCATGTTGTAAGCACTCAAGGATATAGTGCTTTTTCTTCAGAGAAAATAAAAGGAGAAGGAAAAATCCTTGAGAGGAATAGCCATAAGAAAAGCAAAAAAATACATCCAATCACCGAGTGATACTTTTTAAGTCTAGGGATGAGAAGGTTTATTTTGTTTTGATTGTTTCTCTCTCTCTCTCTCTCTCTCTCTCTCTCTCTCTCTCTCTCTCTGTCTGTCTATCTGTCTGTCTCTCTCCTGTTTCAGCACTGTTAGTGTTCAAATGCCCATTCATGCTAACCTTCTATGGAACCTGAAAACTCCAAGAATCTTTAAGTGGTGTATTTTGTAGTCTTAGTTCAGGCTTATGAGCTTCCTCTTAATGAATTTCAGCTTCCTAGTCATAGCCAGTGTACAAGAAAATCTTCATATTACAATTTAAAATAGACTTAATAGCAATAGATATGCATGATGACTTATGAAACTAAAACTCAGGGATTGGATTAGATTAGTCAAGGAAACTATGCATAGAGATAAGAATAAGAATGGGAAGCCAAGAAACCTGGGGGACTCGGGGAAATAGCCACACTAGAGGAGCTAGCAAAGGAAAATAAATGATTGAAATATTAGGAGGCCATCCAAAGAACATGGTAGT